CGATATATATATATATATATATATATATATATATATATATATATATATATACCATGTCCCCCCCAGAAGACTGGGGAAGCAAGTACAGGTTTTCAGTTTTTCCTGCAAACCCCTTTACGTTGCTTTACTTGGTATGAATAGAAAAACAAACAGATGTGATTTTATTTGTTTACCTACTACGGGGATTTATAATGGAGGGAATTTCTAGGGTTCTGCCTTGATGGGTTAGGTGAACGCAGTTGCATTGTGTCTTCCACAGGAAGGATATGGGACTAATCAATGAGCGAAAACTGTCAACCGCATTCGGCTTACGCAATCGCTCGGCCCAGTGTCTTTTCTGTTAATACCTATTCGTCACTTCCTGGTTCTACTGAGTAGCCTTCGTCGTCCGTCATTCAGTCATCATCACCAATGACAGCACAACATCAGAGTCCAACATTGCATTGCAGTACTCAGACTCTTCAGAATCACTTTCGTTCCTCTCTTCCAGGTTCAGCAATTCACCACGTATCTCATCGAAATTTCGAAACCACCTAATATGGGGAGTCGCCAAATCTAAGTGGTACCAAGTACTAAAATGTTAAGGGTGCCAGTGAACATTTGACAGCATGGTCCTAGAGTAATCCGCAACACTCGTGCTTTGATGGACAGAGGACTTGTTACTACTGGTGTACAGTAGTGTGCAGCCTGCCAGCCAGTAAGGCATTGAAATTGCCATGCAGTGTTTTCTGTGCAAGGATATATGGGCATGCGTCATGCGGCGAGAATGAGACAGCCAGTGCTTACTTACTGCGGGTGCCTTCAATTTGACCGACAACAGTCTTTTACGTGCTATTCTGTCCGAGAGCCCCTTTAAGATCAAAAGGCGCCTCACAGAGGGTAACATCACCAAGCCTGAATACCACCAATCAATATTTAGGCCGGAAACCAGTATTCTCGATGACCACTGGAAATCAGTCAACGCTGCCCACGGAGCAAATGACACAAACGTACGTCTGATCGTAATGCTCTCCACCACTTCTGCAATTTGTCTGTCTCTGATGTCGGGTAAGCATCGACGGAGGGCGAGGGGATTTCAGATATGTGGGCATTCCAAACGAATTTGATTTCGCCTGAGATTTTTTTCGAGATTCCCGTTCATCGAAGAGATCATTTGCAACGACTGGAATGGGGTCTTCCGGATGAAAAAAGCAGCCATCACCAAATTCAATGATCGGAAACTGACGACGACAACGAATGCAGGACTGGCAACGTCACCCAAGAAAAACAGAGGGATCTCGGTAACATAGTGAAATATGGTTATTAAATTAAAACTGTGCAGTGTGGCTAGAACTCACAACAGTGCACCTGTGGATTGTGAACTGTAGACGCATCATTAGGAGGGTAACTCTTGTGTCATTCAGCATATTACAGGAAGCATGGCGCATTTATAAATCGGTCCCTTACGTTGATTCTCCATCCTTAAACAGGTCAATCAAGAACTTATGGACATAATCTCCATCTGAAGAGATCGCTCTTGAGTGAGAACATTTATCAGAATAAGGTCAACGTTAGCTTGTCTCCCGAGACTTACCTCACGGAAATTGTCGCCTCTTGAAGAAAAAATCTCACAGAATGCATTACGTTTTGTTGTCCCTCTTAGTTGATCTCTTCATGAGGAATGGCCTATATTGAGCGTACAGACCCTACCAACTTTTATCAATTTCCGTTACCGAACTCGATCAAATTCCTATCTTTGGAGAGACGTTTTCCAAGTTACCAAAGGTGATTTTTCCAGATAGGGCCTTTGTCGCTCAAATATGCTTCAAAAGACCAGGCACCGTACCATCCCATTTGGTGTCACAATTTTGTAATTGACGTCTCCTCTCAGAGACAAGATGTCAATTTATTGAGGTGTGTGCAGATAAATGTTCAGTATTGATAAAATCCTTGATTTTCGGATGACTTTGCTTTTAACCTGTTTGTGCATCATTCATATTGGGTACAGAGTACGTCCATTTTCAACCAGCTGATAATAGCACTAATACCGGTAATGTCGTTTAAACTATTTATGTCGGATGTTGGAACCTTAGACACGATCATTCGCTCTAAACTGAAACTGTTGCACAATGCTACGGTGAGGGCCAGTGTTCTAGTTGACTCATATCTGAACAGCTTTGACGTCTATCCTGATTCAATAGTGGTCATCTAATTTTGTCTTGTTCATTTTACTCTGTTCATCAGCTGAGTGAAAATTCCAATATTTTAGCATTAGAATTATGGACCTTGCGCGTAAAGAACGACACTATATAACTTTGTCTCGTGGTATGAATGATTGTGTACAACAAACCGGAAGCAGAGTACCACTGACAAACAAAGTGTAGTTACAGTGTTTGTAGTGGTAAGTCACTCAAATACACGACGGGTTAGTGGAAAGATAGAACACAAGTGAGGGTTTTGTGATACTCAACAAAGTTCCTAGTTTTTTGGTCTTGATCTGAATGTTCTGAATTTAGCAGAGTCTCGCTTTGTAAGTGGTATGTGGAGGCTGGAAAGTTTCTTACCAATACGGCACTTCGCAAGAGGCTCTGTAAATTGATTAACGCAGAATAGGTATAAAATATACGTCCATGCTGCTGGGCTCACGTAATCCGTGGAATGACTAGGGCGCTGCCATACAGACCCTTCAATCTCTGTGGGGTTGTTCACATTCGCCGAAGGCCACCATTTTGAAAATAGAGATGTACGCTCCTCATAGATAGCAGACACAGGGTGCGCTTCCAACCGTAAATGTTCGTTTATAAATCAGCTTGCGATGATCAGTCAAACGGCCTCGAAAAAATTCAGACCAGAAAAGCATTGTGCTATGACTACTATGATTTCATCTCGAAAGTCAATTTGGATGAATACAACGTGTAAAGTATGTTAAAACAGAAGCCACTCTGCAAAATCTGGTGGCCCGAGTAACAAAGGTAGAAAAACCTGTGGCAGTGATTATCCATCAGGGAGACCGACATGGGAATCAGCACCGAAAAATAAAGCCTATGCACACTAGTTCATTCTCCCTCTTGTTCCCCGGTCACTGGAACCCCCATTTTTATTAGTATGATATAGCGTTTTACAACAGGAAGAGTGGAATTGAAGTGTGTTTGACGTACTTGTGTGTTTATGGTGGCCCATAAACGCCAGTAGACCAGGCGCCAGCTTTTCAATTCCCGAAACCAACCAGCTAATAGCTCAGTAACACAAAAAATTCGCTGGTCCTCGGAAACAGTTGCAGCAGACAGGCTGCAACTGCTACCACTCTGAGCTCGAATTGGAAAGTTCGGAGACAAAAATGTAGGAGTTCGTGACATTGTACGACATTTCGTTGTTCCGCGCTCTTCTTGGGACGCAATCTCGGTATGTGAAGGAGTAGTGGGTGCGCCCAGAAGAGTACAGGAGGATGATCGTCGAAGGGGCATTGATTTCTTCAGAGACAAACTGGCTGCTGTTGGCAGTGGTTTGTGTATGGGGATAAGATCCCCAGATTGGCTTACCAGACGACGCCAAGGTAAGCATGGAACTGTGCACGCTGTTGTCTTTGTCAGTATCCGGTCACAGTGCGCACACCTGTATTGAATACATTGTTAGAATACCTTGTGAAAAACCGTGATCTAGTTTTATGGAAGCCAAACAAATAGTGCTGGTCTAAAACCCGAACTCAAATCAACCATGTCTAAACGCAGTGGGGGACATAGGTCGCGGTTATAACGGGCATTACACGCAGGCTCTGCTGTATACAACCTTATAGTGTCTTTCAGACTAAAGACCATCCTGTTGCGAGGAAGGTTCGTAGAAATCCTCAGTGTGTTCTATTACTCTAAACAAAGATCCTTTTGTTAGAGAACACACACATGACTTCGTTACAAGCCCATTTTCTAACATAACAGGATACGAAAGACATTCATAATGCTGTGAACTTTATCACTTTACTCTACCGATGGATGTTCCACAGGAACTAAACTTTCCAGATTTCGACATCACCTAGAACCACTTACTTTTTACTTACACAGAGATATAGTTGAGTAGAACCAGGTATGTAACAACAGTAAGAATGTTCCCAGGTGATTCCCAATAAGGCTGACCCAATGTCCCATCCAAACCATCGCTATTGGTGCATAGGCCGACCTTGAAGCATGGGCGCAGACTTCAATAATGAGGTCATTCAGATTCTGCCCAATTTCCTCCTCCTGACAATTGGGACAATCACCAGGATCGGTGCCACATCTTCTCCTGCCGACCAAGCTTGGTTGCATGTCAGAGGAACGCAGGTTGGTGAGGTGGGAGCCAAAGATATTGTGGGAAACGGAATGTTACATTGAAACACAGCCCGTTAATATGATGGCTCTGATCAAACTGACAGATTTTGTGTAGGCTGACGTGTTCAGACTGTTCTTCTATGCTCCTCAGCATAATACATGACTTTTAGGCACGTGTGACAGTGTTGACTACTGACAGGTGCTGACAAAGAAACGGGGACATGGTGCTACAATGTGTAAAGCTACATATCTATGACTACCTGTCTGCTGTTCAGAGGTCTTTATTTCGTGCATAAACTTTTCCTTGATTCATCTTTACCAGAAGCTTTGGAAAAGTGTGTGTGTACAAAAGTGGCCCTCAGCCTCAAATAATCGGGACAAAGGTTAGAACAAAATAAATACAAAACGAGAATAAACGACAATGAGGGGCGAAAAATCTGTGAACAACGCTAAGTTTGTGGACAATTTTCGTCATTCGTAGAACCACCCACACTCGGTTTGATCAGAGGCCGTCTTACAAAGAAAGCCACTTTCCAGAAAAATGACCGCAAATGATACTTTTGATCCGACTAGATTTAGCAGGGCGTGGATCTACAGTAGGTTTGCTGAGAGTTGTCAGATTCTCTCCTGAAAAGAAAAGTCTTGCTGGTTCAAATCAGTGCAAATGCAAACATTCCGTCAAAGTGTTTGATCAGCAAAATCTTGCTTCCGCAGGAATTTTACAGTTTCTCGACTAGGAGCAATTTAGGCCACATCGAGTTCAGTCATCCTGGCTCCCCGATTAGATGAACAATTCAGGGTCCAGAAGTAAACATGCAAGGAAGTAAACGATTTCTGTTGTTTATGACCTTTAAAATGAAGACTGGATTTTTCCTAAAATAGGAAAAAAGCATCCAATCATCATTGCAAGTTGACAATATTACCAGTGTTAAACATCAGTACCTCATCACCTCACAATTATGAACCTCTGGTTGAAGATTACCTTGGCACACAAAGATGAACAATATGTGGGAGGGAAGTGATCTAACCATCTCTAGCACTAAAAAAACAATCTGAGAGAAAGTCATGAGAATATTTGGCTTTCAGTTAACTTTTTACGCAGACCGAACTCGGAGTTCGGGATCTACAGATAACAAAGAACCTTGTAACCAACCGGTCCGTTTGCAACATATCCCCAATGCCTTCCGTCTGCATCCACCTCCACATACAATGTCGTAAACACCATGATTTGAAGCAACACCTGACGAGTTTGTCTCATTCGCATTAATCCGGATTATCGCTGGATCACTCTATTTGGAGATCTACTTTGTCCATGTGAGTCACACCGCGACACTTCTTACATACCATGTTACACCGGTGTTTGTTACGACTGCAAATGCATTGTCGACAATAGTAAACCTGTTTGCTTATCTCCTTCGTTCACACATCTCACCAGTAACAGCTCAAAAAAAGCCCATTAAATTTGGCCGTTTTCTGAGAGACCGTTCCAAATGAAACAATTTCTGCGTATATACGCACGATAGTTCCAAAGTAACGGCCGTTTCAGGCAGAAAATCTGTTGTAGTAACGGCAGAAAATTGTAAAAATGACACAATGAAAACACCCTGCCAATAAATATGAACAACACACTTACTGAAAGATAGTGGCTGCATTTTCCGGACATTCAAAAGAAGTGTAGTCCTTTTCGAACAGTTGTTCAATCTTCTTGAAGAACAATTTGCTTTGCTAATGTGTGAAAGGTGTGGTACATACCTCTTAATTTTGTCTTTCTTGTCCTTCACCGTATCTATTTCTCTCACAGTCAAGTGCTGAATAATTCTGTGAGAAATGTCTAGTAAGAAAACTGAACAAACCGCTGCATAAGCTCATCATCAATACAATTTAGAGAGCAAGGGCTGGCAATAATCGCATTGATGTTTTCGCACAAGTATCGGACACATGTTTCTGTCTATAATAAGTATACATTAAGCAGAATCAGTAAACAACTGTGTATACCAATGACTCCATCTTAAGGAAATTCGAGGAAATTAAGATAGCCAAAATGTTGGATATGGAAATGTGACAATCTTGGAAATTTTGTGGGTTTACTCGTCTTTTCACATAACACATTAGCCATTCGAAGACTTTGATATCGCAATGTACGATGATCTCCACCTCTTCAACAAACTGGCCATCTTTGATCAGATAATCACGAAAGTAGCCCATCTCTGAGACTAGCAGATCGCGGTCACACACGAAATCGCGTTTCCCTGCGGAATAAATGTACGCGAATTAGTTAGAGTTTTCTCACCTTCTTTCGACTCATCACGGACGTGTATAGTCACGTTACGTGGCTTTTCATCTACAGAACCCCCTTCTGTTTTGGGCTGCATCCAACTGATATAACAGTCAGAATACTGTTGCAAAACGTTAAAACTAAAAAAGTAGAAGAAAAGTGAGATATATTGGTTCTATAACAAAATATAAAAATATCGAAGGGATCCGTTGGACATATGTTGAGTGATGAATAGGTTTCAAATGGGAAAAAAAACCGTATTCTGGCTTGGACAGAAATTTATCCCTCTGTACGGTGTGTTCACTGTAATAGGTTCCATAAAATTCAGTTTTTCAGAATACGGTTATCTCCAACCTTTAAGTAGAACACAAACAAATACGCTGAAGGTGGAGATCCGGTGAAGCGCACCGCACCGGGACGCTCTAATCTCGACCAATTCAGTGAGAAACCTTCTCTGGAACTCGAAGAGACCTACCTAAAAAACAATTTCTTGAACTGTTCTACCGATAGTAGACCGATTGGGTGAGTCCATTGCTGTGTTTTAACACCAAAACATCGGAAAAAATCCCAAAAAAACATTTATTTTTTTTGTTGACCTGAAAAGATGTAAAAGGATGTAATCTCAAACCGTCAGCAAACTCCACAAAAAACAGTTATCAACAAAACACCTATTCGCAACTTGGATACTCGACTGAACCCAATATAAATCGAGTGAATAAGTTATATAAAGGTCACCTCATGTTTCAGTTGCAACGATGTTCGAAATATTGCAGCAAATGCAGCGCAAGAGACTGGCGTAAACGAGAAAGATTCATCTGGTGTCCGTCCAATTTCCATTTAGCACCAAATTAATTTGTAAATGACTCTATCTCCATAACTAATTACAAGTTGCATTGCGGGTCGAACAGAGGGTTGACTAAGACTCAGGGGTTGCGCATACTTGAGGAGCCGTAAAGTCGGCGCTGTCAGTTTTCAGAAAACATGAATAGCGTGTTCCGTCAAGAAGTCTACTGCATGTTTTAGATTCCAAGGTAGATAAATTAACCCGGTACCTCGGCTGGCGAAATTTGAGTGGGTACTCAAATTCTTCAGTGTGAACCGAAAATACTCTCCAAAAGCATCAGACATATAAGCCTGCATCTACTGCACTGCCCAAATAAATAAAGTTCTTGGGAAGTCCTCATTTAACATCAACAAGTCCAGAGAGTATCAGAATGTATTTCTGGTTGGGTTTTACGTGCAGAATATGCTGTGAACACCTACATTTTATTTGAGGCATGCTCTTTTTATCGGATCACTAGACGTCAGAATGACCCAGCCGAAGAAATTCAAAGCGCTTCAGGCTACGCTGTGTGCTGATGTAGCCGGTTGCCACGGCTACATCTGCCACTTCTCTTGTGTATGCAAAATAACTTAGCGCGGGAGCAAACCAATTATTGCATGCGTAAACCATGTGGTTCGTAAAACCCGTAGCTCCGCTTGCATAATTTATTCTATCCCCCAATCAACAACTTTCGGTTTTCGAACCCAGAAACAAAAGCTCTTGGAAGCCACTCTTACTGGATGTTGGACGTGGTAACCTTTTGTCGTTCTTAAAATTTGGAGGTGAAGAGCTGCGATTGTGTACTCAGTGGTTTAAACGACATCCATATTTACCAGTTTGAGTATAGGATCCGTTGGTAACTTTTCAGTAACTACCTTTGTGCATTCTGTTTTAGATAGATGAGTTAACCGTGTTTAGACATCAATCGACTCTGAATCATAACTCTCCAGTAACCTATCCTATTTTACTACATTAGAGCCATCATTCAACACCAACAGAATAGTAAGGAATCAGTGAATAGAACATTATTTTTCTACTAAACAATAGCCACGTCCACAGAAAATGCCTTCAATGCCTATACGTGTTCGAGGAAGACGTACGCTTAGCAAGGATATCAGTCTGCGAAGGATGAACGTTGTACCCAACTCCATCACCATTTACCCGGATATAATTCACCGGAAGATTGAAACACCGCTGTAACTTTTACAGATGCCTAAAGAAGATTCCACTGTCCGTGGGTGTTTTGGGTATCCTCCTTACACGTTTCTGAGAAAGTACTGACAAGAGCTAAAAGGGCGGATGATTACATCGTTTCCTGGGAAAACTTGGTTAACCTCCCCGGATGCTGGCCTTCCGTTCAACCAAGCACGATGCTACCACGTAAGAAGCCAAAAACAGCGATTTCCATCAAGAGTAAATACCCGTTCACTTCAAACGCGGAACGCAGTACACAGTTTGCATTTATTTTGTGCCCAACGGAGAGAAAATAAGATGCAGGTAATGAGGAGTGACTTCCCTCGATTGAAACCCATACCCATACCTCAACACACAGTATTGATAACGCAATGCACGCATCCCCAGTTTCTATGCACTTCAATAATGCGGAAGCTACTCTCACAGAGGATGTTGAAGACCTTCACTAGCCACAACTCAAACGTCCTTATATATTTCGGAATCAGTTAAGCGTAGCCACTTGAACACTCCTCAGTTGATGACGATATACATTCGTTACGTTTTCCTTGTCACGCTTCTTATACTAACAAAATATCTATGAATCAGAAGTATTTTTCACTCCGCACATATTTCAAGTAAATGACTGACTATTAAGAGCTCCTAAGCTTGTGCAATAGTTTTCCAAACCTTGATTATTGCTACCAGAATTTTGCTGGATAGCATTTAAAATTTCACCATTTCCTCATACATGCATTTTCTTCCGTTTAGGCTAGTATCACTAACTACATACTTTAAATGAGGAATATCTTTAGGCTTACCCTGTTTTGCTGCAAGTTTATAACACTTTCTGAGACGAGGATCTGCAGCAGTGGTGCTTGAGTTGAATAAGAAGAGAACAGAAGAATATTTGGGCCAGATAGTGTCAGCACAAATCTGTCTATGCATATCCACCATGATGCAGCAAGTATGACGAATCGTCTGATGGTCCAGTGCTGCGGCCGATGCGGCACAAAGCTAAAGATATCAATGGTTGCGTGTAAGCAGAGGCACCCGGACCTAGAAAGGAGGCTGATTAAGACCTTCAACCAACGTCTCTGTCCCAATAACATGACTGCATGGTAGCGGTGGCTTGTGTGCAAGTTGTGAGCTATGTTATGGTGAGGTCTACTCTGTTCAAGAGAGTTGCTTACTCAATAACGGTAAGTACATGTTGTGGCTGCAGTACTCCCGATCAAGCATTGTGAGGTGCGCTTTCTGAACTAAATGCAGGATAAATAGTACAGAAAAACAGTTATTATTAGTAAAACCCATCCGGCTGGTGTAGGGTATTTTTACAAGTAGACCAATAATGAGTCGGGTGCACTGAAGACTTTCGAAAGAACTAGGCGGTTGACGTTTTTTGATCGTCATTCTTTGTAATGAGTGGGCTGTGATGTGTACTTGGGTAACCAAGGGGTCAAGGATAGAGAACCACGTAGAGAATGGCTGAGGGTGTGATGCCCATGACACAGAATAGGTTGGAATGGGTCCGATAAAAAGATACTGCTATGTAAAGGCAGTTGTTTTTTGCGTGATTAAAAAAAGCAGAAACTTTGGAATAGCAGAGACCGCTCGCCTTTTTAGGCTCGGTTGTTCGGCTTCGCAGACGTGGTACATAGAGAGTCAAGAAACGAGGTAATCTACTTAGGAATACTAAAATCTAACCTCGCAACTCTCTCAGTGGACAAGCTGGGTGCATTCCCACAGTACTCACCTGACTGGCTTAGACTGCCAAAACAATAAGTGCCTTTTATCATCTGTCTGAAAGAACAGCCGTCTTATCCAAAAAGCCGCGCGCCAGCCAGGTACCCCAAGGTGAATGCAAAATCTAAGAGCTGATCGGTTGTGATCAAATAAGAACATAAAAAAGAACAAAGATTATCGTGACGTAAACGAGGCTGTAGATGCTGAGGATTGTCTCTTAGTCCCGGTCAACAAAGACCTCCTGTCTCGCGAAAACCTCTTTACTCTGGACTGACTTCCCCGAGAAAACATTCATACCCGCTGCAAATTAACATTAACGTAAAAAATTTGCTAACACCACCAAGTTGAACCAGCCCTCTGCCAAGTGCGATTAGTATAACGCTATAATCTGGTTTTATGGGTTCCAACAACCCTCTCAGTATTTCACAGAATCCTGTTGAAGCTCTACGGTTCTGGCGCCTTTATCAACGTCCTTTCAGTCTTCAGTTGTACAACAGGCATTTCTCTGGTGAGCCGTTAAAGAAAATTCTTCGAGTCTCTTCCGCAAACAGGTTCGCCTTGGTGGAGTATGGACTCCACACTCTTACGCAAACTTGAGGTGAGGTTCAACAAACGAGTCGTTCAGTTGCGTAAGAACCACCGGTCTACGAGAAGATACTGTGCGATTCAACTAAGACAGACCAGTGGTGTGACACTGTACGATAGATCTGT